AGTCTCTGTGGTCCAGGAAGTGGGTATTGGGCCCAGGGTGGAGCTGAACTGTGATGCGGTTTCCATGAAAGCCTCAGATGACCCCAGCGGGGAGCTCTGGAGCTGGATTTCTCTTTCAGTGTTGTCTCAACTTGAAGCAAAGGGGTTGGGGTTCAGTCCTTATACACCCCACATCAGTCACTGGATGAAGGCTGACACTGGGAGGTGTGACCTTGGTCTGAATGGCTCTCAGAAAGGGCAATTCCCACAGAGGGACTAAGCAAGATGCTTCAGCTGCTGCTACTCCCAACAGCTGGGATAATGAGTGCCTCAGGCCTCTGGGGAAGCTGAGTGGTGCAGCACAGCACCCACTAGGGGTGGATTTTCCACTGAGGGAGGTTGGCGCCCCTAACATCCATTCCCCTTGTTCAAGGGTCAACCATATTACCTTTTTGCATTACTCAATTTAAGTGGGTTCTGACAAAGGTGTACAAGAATAAGGAAATAATCATACTTTAAGTGAAAAAAAAAACTATCATATATATTTTACATATAATAGTGATGCCAGTTTTGTAAAACAAATGCACACACTAAAAACAAAACGCAGCATAATAGAAACAATAGTTGCAGTTAAATGATGAGATGGGAGTGACAGGGCTGAATTTAATTTTCTTCTATATGTTCCGCAAAGACGTCAGGGTCTGGGGTTTTACCCAGCTCACCCTACCCTACCCTACCCTACCCAATCTACGGGTAGGATTCCCAGGAAACAGTAACGGGCCAATTTATCAACCTGTTTCCTGGGAATCTTACCAATTGTCCTGCACCTCGTCCAGCCTATCTTTACATGGCATAGAAGCCGTCAAGGTCTGGCCTCCCGATTTCTCTAATTCATTTGCCACCGTGGCTCCGGCCACACGGAGTCTCAGTCTGATTTATCGGGAAGGCGTCTTTGCCTTCTTCATCTCCACACTCCATACCTACTCCTCACCCTAGAAGCTTCGATGTGGAAACGTGCGCCCCTGTCCGGGCCCCACGACGCCAGGCTCCGGTTACAGGTGTAGGTGCAGGTCTCACCCATGTTTACAGCGCAGAAAGACTTGAGACTGGCGTCAGCCAGCTCGGGACCCCCAAACTGTCACTGAGCCGCGGCT